TGAAAATTTTGAGCCAGCCCTACCCCCAAGGGCTGTAGGGTGGGGCTCAAGGGAGTCAGTGTGCTAAAATTTCTTCATTTTCCTTGTTTAGAATCAGAGGTGCTAGTTTCAAATCCTTTTTAGTCTGAAATCTGTATGCTTGATATTGAATAAGGTGGTTTTATTGTTTTTTGTCACTTTGAATAATATTTCTGTTCATGTTAAAAACGAAATCAACTCTCTGTATAAATATATCAGGTGACCGTTAAGGCCCATGGGCCTCTTGTATAAAATATACATTGTGTGAAATTTTTGTCTAAATCTGTGCTTTACAAGAACAAATTCTACAAGATTGGAATATGATAGTTAATCGGAAATCCTAATCCTTCCGTCTGCCACAGCGTCCATATACAAGCAGCATATGAAGCCTTTTCAGTATTAAATACTGTCTCGTTCATTGATCTGTCCAGCCAATGCAAGGGAAGCTTCCTGTGTAGTACAGTCTTTTGTAATGAAAATAGAGCAATTTCTCTTTGAACACAGGGGAGTGGGTCTTTTAACAATTTGGTTAATAAGATAATATGTATCGGGTATACTCTCGACAATCCCGAAATCTCTCTGTAAATTGGCTATATGTATAGGGTCACTTTGGTGTCTAGCTAAGAGTTGGAGGTAATATGGCAGTGTGATGATGTCTTGATAACAGGAGGGTTAGGGTTTGCCTATGGCCGTTCTGGCTTGGCGTATAGCCTTTCCCCAAAGAGAACTTGTCATAGTTACTCTGACTGCCAGGCTAATATAATTGTTATATCACCCCTGAAATCTCATAATGAACTTTATATTCCAACCTTTGAATTGGAATGGGTCTTCAGGGGTATGAGTTTATATTAATTGTGGGGAAAAAAATAAGTAGTAGCACCATGCTGTGGTAAAATATAACTATAACATTGTGACCGATATTGATTGTATAAAATACAGAAGATGAAAAAGAATTCATGTCTAAAGGTTCACTGTAATTCACCCAAGTGTAATTGATGCAAAGTTGACCGTCTTTCCTTTTAACAAAAACAAACTTTGGTCGGATTGAAGCCTTTTTGTTGAAATCTTGTTGCTGGTATTTTGGTTTTAAAGTTCAGTAGGTCAATAATGACTCAACTACAGAATTCAAGATCAAGTTAAGTTAGAATAATTGATAAAGTTAAGTTAGAATAATTGTATGTCGATATTATTGAGTTTTCAGTAGACCGATCATTAACTTAATTACTTTCAAGCCTGCTCATGGCCACTTAGGACTATAAGTTAAAGATTCGGTGCTTTAAGGGAAGACTTTCTTACATGGTATTGTTTCTTGCCTGTGTATGTGACTTGCAACAAATGCATCAGTGTTCCCACTTAAATTTAGATTTTGGGGTATATTTGATAACATTTTCAATATTCTGTACCCCTAGGTATATGTGACTTAGTTACATATTGTACATAGAGCAATTCTTGAAAACTGGGGGAGGGGGGGACGGACAACTAACTGTTTTAGAGGTGAAAACCCCTCATTTTGGGGTTTCTGAGAACACTGAGCATTGAAGATTTCACAATATATCTCTTTAACATAATTATTTATCAAGTAGACAACCATCAGTGAGTTATTTGTACCAATGATCAATCAACGAATTTAACCGATTCCTTTCACTAGTATGTAATTGATTAGCAGTGTGATGATGCCTTGATAACGGGAGGGTTAGGGTTTGCCTATGGCCGTTCTGGCTTGGCGTATAGCCTTTCCCCAAAGACAACTTGTCATAGTTACTCTGACTGCTTAATGAATTACAAAGAATTATTTTTTAAATTGGTTAAAGTTAAGACAGAAAGTTTGGCATTTTTCCTACAGCCTATATTATCCGCCCTCAGTTGAATGACTTGATGACTAATATTAGGGTGTTACTGGTAGGAGGGAATTATGATATCGTGTCACCATATGTTTTCCTGTCTAGTTGCTTATATATCATATTTTGTCATTTCAGCTAAGGTAGCCTCCCGGCCAGGCCAGTGTGGTCGCAGTGACGGCTACATCCTGGAGGGTAAGGAGCTGGAATTCTACCTGAGGAAGCTTAAAACCAAGAAAGGGAAATAAACTTAATTTATACACCTGTGATGACTGTGCCAGATTAAAGGGGAGACAAATCATTGTTGTTTTGGTCTTTTGTATGGATATATCCGGTTATAAATAATCTACTCTTCAATCACCTTTGTAAATAAAATTACGATGTAGGAGATCTTTCACTTTCAGTAAATTCACAGATTCTTTTTACATATTTTATTAAGTCATCTTGCAAATATTAAACTGAAGCAGGATATAAAGATGATCAAAGTCAACTGCTAGCATTTTCAGAGGTGAATAGGGAGTATATTGAGCATCTCTGTGAATTATCTTCCTAAAAGATATAGGTGATCGGGTAGCTCAAGACCCGTGCTACTTGAGTTTATGGTATGGTGTGTCATCTGTCATCCTTTAACCTTTTTCTTTGGAAGACTTCGAAAAAACTGGAGGACCTAGGGCAATTAAATCAATGACCTTGACTTTTCAAGGTCACAGGGTTCAAATATGTAAAAACCTTTAAACATCTTCCGAATAACCAGGAGACCCAGAGTAATAATACTTGCCATGAAGTGCTATAAAGTTCCCTCAGTTAAATGCCCTCAGACATAATTTCAAGTTCACATAGTTAAAATATTATAAAACTTAAACAACTCCTTCTGAATAACCAGGAGGCCCAGAGTACTTAATTTCAAAGGTCTTTTGGTAAAAAGAGTGAAATTTTTAAACATCTTGTGATTCTTGGCCAGTAGGTACCTGGGACAGGGTGCTATAAAGTTTCCCCAATTTGATTACCTATTCATATTTTCACAGTAATTGGGGTCAAATATGTAAATACATTTGATAGATGTATTTTGAAGCAACTTCCGCAATTCCAAGAGACCCTGGGTGGTGACATTTGACCATTAGTATGCTGGGATAGAGAAGTACAAAGTTTCATTTAGTCCGGAACATTCTTAAGCCAAGGAGACACAATATATGGACATTTTTGCAAAAGTATGTTTATTGAGAATTTTTCTTCATAATTGCCCAAATATCCAGGTACAGGCCCTTTGGATCTCTTTTTCAAAAGGTGATCATATTTATCAGTGATTAGTGGGAAAAAAATTGTGTATATCTTTCAAACACCACCCATTGACAGAGTTAAAACTGTTCAGATAACAAATATATAGTAAAGTAAACGACATGCCAAATTTAATGTTTGACCTTTTATAATGACCACATGAAGTTGATGTATCGTTGAACAGTGATTCAAACGCCTTTTGAACAACTGGGCCATGTAGCATAAAGCTAGAGGTATGGGTTTCATAAAGGGGAGACACATCGCTTTAAGTCGGCATAGAGTTTTGTTGATCAGCTTTAAATTACTATTAAGAGGGGTCACTTTGATCGGCACATCCAGTTCTGTTGACCAGCTGGCCCCCATCATTATGGGGAGAGACGAGTCACTTTGGTCGGAAGACACTTTTGTTGACAAACTGACAACTAGCATTAATGGGAGACTAGTCGCGTTGGTCTTCACACAGTTCTGTCGACAAGCTGGCCTCTGAAGCTTTCGAGGTAGATGTATGGAGCAACGAAGTCCGGGGAAAGAACGTACACTGCATTAAGAAATTGAGGCCTAATAGTGTATAAAAAGATATCCAGGTAATTTGATGTGCCAAACTGGGCGATTCTGAAGCCACGAGTAGAATGTATTTGAACAATTGTGACTTTATATGGATTTTATTTCAAATGTCCCTTTTAGGCTTTGCTTATCTGATAGTTTTCAAAAATATTTATGTTACAGCATAATGAGTATGATAATGTTAACAAAATTATAAACACACAAGATAAAACCATATCATAGTCAAATTAAGTATAGGATAGATAGTAAAAGGAGATAATAATTGAAGTTACATTGTACCATAGGCATAGTGCATGCTATTACTTTGGTATGTATAGTCATAAATGTAAATACAAAAACTAATGTCGCTTTTGTAAGGGGAGCGAGATGGAGCCCAGTTTTATTTCATTCCACGTATATGTATACAGACACCTGTGAAGTCGACCCATTCAGGATAAAATCATTAGAAAAAAGTCATTCATTCTGCCAATCCTCCAGTGCCACGCACACTCTTGATTAACCCATCCTGGTGAGACGGACTGTTGAAATCGCTCATCTGTTGTTAATCACGCCGTTTCCTGCGAGGACACCAAACTGACAGAAAGTTGATTAGATTTCTTTAAATAGTCCACTTATACTTTGGTTTGACTTCTATGTGTTGTACGTCCTATGAAAAGCATTGGTCATTAAGGACGGGTCGGGTCTTAGTGGTGGAGGAAACCGGATTGCCGGGAAAATACCATCGACCTGCGGATATATCTTATAAACATAGACTTGGCATCACACGGTTAAAAGTTGTACTAAAAGTATTAAACCTCAAGGTAATAGGATTGTGTCGCCATTTCTCAGTAGAATTTATTCAAATTTTGTAGTTATATTGCTTTGCAGTAAAGAAAATTTTCTGCCACAAAATAAATATAGGTTTTCAGAAAATTGAAACACATTTATTTTACAAAATAATTTCAATAAAAATGATACTAACATAGATTTGTATTGCATTAATGTATATCAATTTCATAAATGCTGAAATTGTGTAAAATTAATCATCTATAAACGATTAAAAATTGACATTTTATTATAAAACCATATACACATAGTAATTGCATGCAAGAGTTATCGTTCTTGAAAAACTTCACAGTAGTGAAATAGGTAGCCGGTTTCCTGAAGTACAGAAAAATGGACACATGTGACTCATTGATTAAAAAACAACTGAATTAATACCTGGATTGCTTTGCAATACTTTAATATTGAAAGAACACACTGTTCTGTCAATAATAAGCATACAATATTCATCAGTTTAATATTAAACATCAGAATATTGTGATACTGTCTCCCTACATTGGATTTTCAACTAGGGATGTACTTCCTATTTCCGTTTAGCAATACACTCCAATGACCTTAAGTTGCAAGTCACGATCGAAACTCCTCTAGATTTTTTTCTACTGAATAACAATAACATTCATCATAATCCTTCTGTTGCCCAGCGTTCACGCAATATGTCGGACCGTGCGGTTACGGTTTGTATCAACTGGCCTGCAACCCGTTCTTCAAGAAGTTACCTCTATATTTAAAAATGGATATCCCCATAGTAGAATGGCAACTTCATTTCTTAGACCGAATTGATGGCTCTCTGGTCCAGCTTCCGGTATTGTTTGAAAGCACCGGAAGTCGATTACGACAGGTGCTCCTCCCTGAGTGTTTCGACACTTAAATGTCATCAGACGTCGTTTGTCATGGCTAAGTTGTACAGATGAAAGGTATTGGCTGCTAACCCAATCATATTGATTGCGCCACTTAGTCCATGATATAGCCGGAAAGTCCGATTTACGCATGCGTACTCTGGGTTCTTGAGTAGTTCGGACAGGTCAGTAAACCCAACCTCGTATGCTTTGCCAGATTTCTTTTCCATGGAAAAGCGTTGAAGCATGCTTTCCACAATTATTGGTGACAGGAGGAAGGCGTTGATAAAGTCTGCCCCGAGACTGACCACTAGTGCGGCTATCTGTAACACAGACAAAAAGAAATAAGGGTGACTTTGAAGAACTAAGTGTACAATCAACAGAATAGTTGAATTAAGGTAGATAGTCCCAACGCTCTTTGTTATATAACCAACGAATAAGAGGTCCCATTGGAGTTGCTTACCCATTTGCTATATCAAAGAGTACATATATACATTTCTTTAATCACAAGCATATATGTATGTCCGGCAGGACCGCCAGGGGATTCTTTAAATGGCTTTCGCTGTTAAAAGGGCGTTAAGCAAAATTAAACCAAACCAAAGCTTAGGGATTCACCCCAAGACATCTCGATTGTAAAGCAGGTTATATCCCTTGAGTGACTGGATACGTGATCTTTGTTACGTTAATTCGTTTATGCAACATCACTGTGAACTCTCTCTTAGGCTTGCAACCCGCACTTGTCTAAATAAGTACAGATATTGATTGGAAATTACAAACTTAACAAAGTTTAAATGCCTGTAAAAAGAAGATAAGTGGCAGCACTCTCTACCTTAATGTTCCTTGTTCCTTTTACATTCAATTTCGATAATCTTTTCGATAAATTAAAACATTGCTGAACCACAGGCACTTGAAACATGACAGTTTCGGTACCGATTGTACACTTATAAAGTCGACTCGGTTCCGGAACGGTCTTGGTTTTTTAGCTCACCTGTTCAGAAGAACCATGGTGAGCGTATGCCATATCCCAGCGTCCGTCGGTCGTCCGTCCGTCCGTCAACTTTTCCTTTAAAACGCTACTAGTCCTGAACGGCCACGTAGATTTGGACTAAATTAGGTCTGTAGCATTCTTAGGCCAAGGAGACTCAATTTTGTATAAACGACAGGTGTGGCCCCCCCTGGGGGCTGAGGGGCGCGGCCCAATAGGTCAAATAGAGGTAAAACCATTAAAACCCTTCTTCTACCGTAGGGATTAATTAAGGGATTTATTCTATTTAGTCTGGAGCATCCTTGGGCCAAGGGAACTTAATTTTGTATAAATTGTGGGTCTGGCCCCCCTGGGGTCTGAGGGGCGGGGCCCAATAGGGGAAATATAGCAAATTCTTTAAAATCCTTCTTCTGTAGGAATGAAAGGATTTGTTCCATAGTTGGCCTGAAGCATCCTTGGGTGAAGGGGAACCAATTTTGTATAAACCTTTGGTCTGGCCCCCAAGGGGCCTGAGGAGCGGGGCAAAATAGGGGAAACATAGCAAATTCTTTAAATCCTTCTTCTACCGTAGAAATGAAAGGATTTCGTCCATATTTAGTCTGAAGCATTCTTGGATGAAGGGGAACAAATTTTGTATAAACGGTGGGTCTGGCCCCCCTGGGGGCTGAGGCGCGGGGCCAAGTAGGATAAATATAGCAAATACTTTAAAATCCCTCATCTTCTGTAGGAATGAAAGGATTTGTTCCATATTTGGTATGAAGCATCCTTGAGTGAAAGGGAACCAACTTTGTATAAACCGTTGGTCTGGTCCGCCAGGGGCCTGAGGGGCGGGACCCAATAGGGGAAACATAGCAAATTTTTCTTTAAAATCATTCTTCTTATATAGAAATGAAAGGATTTGGTCCATATTTGATTTGGAGCATCCTTGGGTAAAGGGGAACCAATTGTGTATAAACAGTGGATGTGGCCCCCTGGGATCTGAGGGGCCGGTCCCAATAGGGGAAATAAAAGTAAAACCTTTATAATCCTTTACCATAGGGATTAAGGGATTTTATCCTTAGTTAGTCTGGAGCATCCTTGGGGCAAAAGGGACTCAGTTTCGTATAAACATCGAGTGTGCTCCCCTGGGGCCAGAAGGGAGGGGCCCAATAGGGGAAACATAGCAAATTCTTCAAATACCTTCTTCTTCTGTATTAATGACAGGATTTTGTCCAAATTTGGTATGAAGCATCCTTGGGTCAAGGGGAACTAATTTTGTATAAACGGTGTGTCCAACCCCCCTGAAGGCAGAGAGGCGGGGTCCAATAGGGGAAATAGAGGTAAAACCTTTAAAATCCTTCTTCTACCATAGGGATTAAGGGATTTTATCCTACTTTAGTCTGGAGCAACCTCGGGCCAAGGGACTCAATTTTGTATAAGCAGTGGTTTTGGTCTCCCAAGGGGCAGAAGGGTGGGGCCCAGTAGGAGAAATAGAGGTGAAACCTTTAAAATGCTTCTTCGACCATCGGGATTAAGGGATTTTATCCTTATTTAGTCTGGAGAATCCTTTGGCCAAGGGGACTCAATTTTGTATAAACAGTGGGTATGACAAAGGCATTTATTATTATTATTACAGTAAGGCAACAAAATATTTCAAAATATCATCGCGAGGCTTCAGCTTAATATTTGGTATATTGGTAATAATGCCAATCTCTCATACTTATTTTTAAATATTACACAGTTACCTGTTTTTGTCGATTCTCGTCGTCAAGCCTGTGCTGTGATACAAAGGTTGCTATGGTGATCGATGACGTTACAAATCCGAAACAGAAAAAAAGCGGGAACAGCTTACTCTGCACGTGACCAAACCATATACGCGGTAGATTGAAAAACAGTAGAAGTCCTGAAAGCAGAAATACAGGGAAATATGTGATTCAACATAAATAAATACTTAGTTAACACATGCTATGAGAATGGGCCCAAAGGCTTGAACCGTTGGACAATGTCCCTCTTCTGAAAACAAGTCTGTTCAGTAGTCATTTTGTCACTTCCGGTTACTTTTGATTTAATTTGAGTTTTAACTGGGATTGTTATGATTCAAGTTCTTGTATTGTTAAGTTTGTCTTGAATACTATTCAAGGAATACTATTATTCATGTGCTGTAAAGCACCTTAAGTAAAAGTAATACAGAAACGTATCAACCTCTTTGCTTTTAAAAACGTCATAATTACCTGCTACGAATGTCATCCAAAATTGTGCTCCGTAATGTGACACGAATGTGAAGAAGTAGAGGAATGTGTAGACTTTTGAACTTTGACCCGTCGAAGAATTGCCAGGGTACAAAGCAAAGCTGAGAGCTATGGTGGCCAATAGTGCAGCGAGGTAACGAACCTGTGGAATTCTGAAAAAGGACAATATTGGCAAACTTCCAACTTAGCTATTTAAGCATACATTGTATTGCACTATATGTTACTAACAGAAGTACAGCATGCTATTATTAAGGTGGCTCCACACTTTCGCAATTAACCAGCAAAACTCGTTGAAACTTTCATAGAATGGTTATGCAACTATGTAGAGTTGATTTTATGAAAATCGAAACATTCCGATAGTTTGGGGACTTTTTTGGAAAAATACCAAAAAATTGAAATTTTCGTCAATTTTAATATTTTCCGTTTTTTTGTGTGTGTGGCATTGTTCGGAATAATAACAACAATAATAAAATGAAAAGAAGCATTTCTAATTAACCCTACAAATATTTTATATATCGCAAAATATGTAACACATGTTACACAAAGTGTTTTTTATTGAATTTGTACGGATAAAAGTGATTATCTTCAAGCTAAAAGCAAACAGGACACAAAGATCTATACAAATAGAATGGGAAATTGAACAAAATATACACAATGGCTTTATAATTAATTTATTTTACATTTTACAATCACTTTGATCCGGGTGAGAGTTATCTTCCTTGAAAAAAATCGGAACTTTTTGCAGAGGGATGACATTTACACAATGACAGTTGTCTCTGTTTACATATAACAAAAATGGTGGGAAAAAATCAAAAATATGATTTCAAAATTATCAATTTGTTGTTCTTTAATGGAACCATATTACCCTCAGTCGTGTATACTTTGGACATCATTCCACAGTCCGCTAACTTACGGTATATTTATAATTACATGTCAAGTACATATGTGACCAGAGGCTATCGCATGGTATGCCGTTCTCACGTGCACTCACACATGCATTTCATAGGTATCTTGATATTTTACAAAACATTATTTTCACAGAGTAAGTAGACTACATTTGTAAAACGATTTAATCGACAGAGCGAAACTCCTTCAACAGCGAAAATCGTAACGACCTCGAGTTTATGAACTCATGTAAGCACGTGAAATGCACATGAGAGGTTGGTACGTCTGCATTCCATGTGCTTCCTATATAACCTTCTTGAGGTCGTCTGGTCTCATGTCACTGTCTTCCCGTAAGTCTGTTTATGTCTATGAATTGGAAAGCTTTATTCCTGAAGTACGTGTGATTATACATTTCCTGGTAAAATCTTGATATCGGGTGTTGACATATCATCGGCACGCATGTGTACTATTGTTTCCCAGGGGCCTGTTCGTTTATGCGGAACAACCGGTTTGGCCGTTTATAAATGTAACAATTTAGGGTATAAATCCTGGCGGACCTGCAAATGTGTATGCAGGCCTTGCAAGGCTTTTTCAAGGTTCGTCTAAAAGCAGCATCAGATAACTAGGTCCGAACTTATTTAATAAACGAACAACAGTGGCCCTATCGGTTTGACCGTTTAAACGAAAACGGTCCAGGTGTTACTATAATTTGCACTACGATATTGAATGCCCGATACGGAAATGACGACACGGTGTACATGCCCATTTCAATCAAGATAATTGAGTCCGAGCTGTACTTATTCCGGAAGTACGTCACGAAAATGGACGCTGATGACGATGTGTGAAGCCACCTTAAACAGATCTACCGTTAACGATAACATGGCAGGTGTCTATCATCAGGGACCAGAGAATATGTATCAGTAGAACTGTTCACTGTTTGGATCAAACTGAAACTGATGTGTTCTGAGTAATTATATATCAGACGTTTTCATCAAATAAAATACCCCCCACCCCCAACCTCTAAAAAATGTGTTATATTATTCACTTACGGAGCACACCAGTTTATGTCCAACTATAGCTATACTCTAACAAATTATCATGATTGCTGTGTCGCACTACATATAGAACCCTTCCTTTTTGTTAACATGGAATTCTGAATCTCATTAAAACAATAAGTCATGACGATTAAATAATTTAAACACATGCGCCAGCAAAAACAACAATTTAAAATCATGCGAAGCGATTGAACTTTAATTTTAATTAGATTGCACCAAAAGATTATAATAAATTCTCTTTCAATTTCACTGGCTTAAACAAAAATAGCCGTCAGGCCTGAGGGGAATCCCCAGCACTTATTAAAGGGATTGCCGCCAGGTGTGAAGGGAATCTCAGTATTTCTCTGTCGGTATGATAGAAAAGCGATCAGAAAATCATATAATATAAAATCCCTGTGACACGTCACATAGTCCAAGAAATCTACGACAGACCGATATAAAAAAGTCGATGAAACGTCAGAATAATTCGGACTAGACAAACACTAACACATAACACAAATTGAATACTGTCAAAACACTTACCTTAAATTAATCATGGTTAAGTTTGATGATGACAACCAGCCACACTCTCACATAATTATACAGTTGTTATTTCACAAGACGTTATGGACATGAAGTATAATAGTAATTACGGCTAGATATTACGTGTTTTATACCCTTCCCGCCCTGATGTTCTGCACGTACATTTCAACGTTTACATCAACATATATACGACAGACGCACATCCACACGTACTATCGTACGTAGTAGGAGATCGCCTACACGACTCAAGACGACCTGAAGGATGGAGGAACGCTGTATACATATAGTAAAACACACTCCCACCGTAGCTACACCGAACACCGTCGTTTATTGTAAGCGAGTATCCACAGTTACATATATATATATATATCTTCTCAGCAGACTAGAGTTGCAATATCGGGAAGGTATAGTGAGGTACACTACGATGCTAAATCGCAAACAAAAACACAAAAAAACCGCCGCCCTCTATTGTGTGCGTGATAACCAAAACACAACGTCGTCCAGGAACTCACATTTGACGTCTCTTAATTGACTTGATGTCTGTCTAATATATATATCTTAATACAATACATCTAATTTTGTATGTTTTTTTGTTGTACAAATGTTATGATTGCTGAGTGCGATGCTCGAAGGGACCCTAATTTGGAAATTAAGTACATTTGATTTGATTTGCTACAAGATCTAGCTAGATTTTAACAGCGAGCGCCGCCTAGCTGTCAATCTCCACCTTACGTTAATTTCTCGTTGTTTTTTCAAGTATTCCTGACAACAACAGACGGAAAGTGAGGGATGTACGTAAGGTTTGTATATTTCTCATTTCATACAGGTAATGGTAATTGTGAAGTGTCCAAACAACAGATTCCTAGACTTTAAGTGGACATCTAACTTTTGTTGTCGCCACTGGTCTCCAACTTTAAAAACCGTTTCTTGACGGTAACATGACAGAGGAAATAGAACAAAAAATACTTTTCGTTTGTTGCAGCATTTTTTTTTTCTATTCAAGCAGCTTGAAGTTCAAAAATGAAACATACAGAATAATCGTGTTAAAATTAGATTTGTACTTCCGCTCCTCTACGATTCATTCCAATACAAGACCTAACAATACCTAACAATATAGTTCATTTCAGCATGACCTTTGGTATTGGAGTGTATCGTAAAGTAATGGAATTAAAAGACTAATTTCAATAAGATTGCATACAGAACTAAGGATTAGGATATCTTTCTTATAAATTAAAAAAAACCACACACTTTACTCTCTGAAAAAAACCCAATGATAACAAATGTTAACTGTGCTTTGAGGAGTCTGTTTGGGACTTTCTGAGAACAGTGAATTTGCGAATTGATGAATCTGTGATTTCAGGATTAAATTTCATGTTGCTAGACTACAAATGTTCGCAAACGTGATCAATTCTTGGACGGTATCCGAAAACAACTCTGTCATAAAACTGAAACGTTAAAGTCGCTGATTAGCGCCAAATTTAGAGTCTTTACACGGCAAAAAAGGCACCGTTTTATGTTTGTAAACGGCGACTTTTCTCTTTTCAGCGTTTCTTGAAAAAGCAAAATGCGCCTTTTAAATTCACAAAATATAGCATTGTCGCCAAGGTGCTCTATCGTCGCGTCAAAATAAGTCAGTTTGCAAAATTAAATACCGCTTGTTCTGAGGACAAAACGCCGTTTGAAAAATTAAATTTTGCTTTCTTGCCTTTCCACAAAGCTTGAAAAAAGCGACAAAGCACCGTTTTGTTTCAGGAAAGTGACAAAGCGGCGTTAATAAAACAGCAGTGTTTCGCTCTGTCGAGCCGACAAAGTGCAGTTTGTTAAAACAAATAAAACCACATATTTTGGCTATGTTGCCTCAACAACGCGAAAAGATGAAAAAAACGAAAAAAATGAAGTGGCATTAATCGGCTACCGTACGACATCGAATCGGGCTTCCATAAATTGGGTGAGGGATAGAGAAGGTACTGATACCACTCCTCCTCGGAAACAGATCAATATGCCTAAGGGTTTCTGAATGTAGTCAGTAAGTAAGCAATAACAGCGGTTAAATGAAGCTTGTCTTCTTGGGGTAATCGATTTCATTAATGATGTCTTCATGGACTAGGTGGCCGAATCGATCAGCTCGGACTCTTTGACCACCGGTCATCAGCAGACAATTCCAGGGCACGGTTATAGAAATAGTAGCTTTGACAGCGTGATTTTACTTGCTAATTACGGGTTCTCAGATTCCTAACACAATATGCTTACTAATACATAAATATTTTAGATCTATTTGATGTCACGTGATTTAATGTTGAGATATAACAGCAAAGAAATCGTCAGCCACGCGAAATTCCCTCATTTGTTCATATTTCTACAAATTTGTCCAAATAAGTTAGTTCTGACAATGCTCAAACCTGTGACCGTCACCTAATTGCAAATGAGATATTACCGTCTACGAATAAATACTGCATTTAACACGTCAAAATAGCATTACCTAGGTACGGTACCAGGCAGTAGATATTATGGAAAATGTGAGTCGCAGCCTCGCAGGTGGCACACTGATGTCCGCTTCTCGCACTTGATGGCCAGCTGAGAAACATTCAGACGTAGGGCATTACAACTTACAATACATCACGTAGTGTAACAGTTTACGTTACACTATATAGTTACGTGATCAGCAGTGCGAAGTAGAATTGTGTAAGGCATCTGATAAGACTGGAAAGAACCGTTTAGTAATCGGAATTCTGACTCTATTATAAGTTTATATTGTTCACATCGTTAACACTTGCGTCCATTTAAGCCCTAATATCTATTCTGACAACGTATTCCTGTATATCAAGTAACTGAACAGAAATATCATTCTGAATTTAATTTCGGCGAACAACGCGCGTTTGGCATTCTGTTCAGGGATACAGCAGAATCACACATTTTAGTACTATTAATGAAATAAACGAAGCTCCATGTGTAGGTAAGCAGTTGAATATAATTATATGCATCCGTCGCTGGTACTTAGCCGTGTTATCGGCTAATTATCTGAAAATTTATTATTATGACTACATATATGTTATGACGTCAGTCATTAAAGGCCTATAGCACATTATTTGTTGGTTGAGTTGTTCTAAATAAATTAGCTATTTCTGTAAGAAATCTGGGTCCTTATTCATAAAACCGTTCTCGAACTTAAATTCAGATTCTGTGCTCGAACTCGATATCTGCTTCTTGTGAGAGAAAAAAATGTTTTTGTTAGACTTTGGATTGACTTAAAGCCAATTAAATGTCGGTTTCAAAGTTAACACTTGACTATAGGCTTATAGACCGGTTACCAAATTTGCCGATTTTTCGTAATTTTCGTGTTTTCAAAATATTTTTCATTTCGCAAAAGGGATATTTAATAAATAATGCCCACCAAAAATGCAAAAAAATGTGAAAATGAAATAGGTTTTTGTATCACCTTTAAGCTAGTTACAAGAAATTAGATTGGCTTGAGCACAGAATCCATGCTAGAGCATGAGAATAGTTTCTTGAATACGGTCTGTTATTTTTGTTTTTGAATTAAGTAGTGATATAGTCACATTTCAGATATGGCAGCGGTTGGTGGAAACAAGAACAGAGGTTAAATATCATGAGTACACTAAACCAGGGAATCGAGTAAAAGGCATGATCAGAACAGCCAGGCGCCAAATGGAAAAGTTAAATGCTTGTTGAATGCCAAAGCAAATCCTAAACAATTTTTGAAATACATAAATTCAAAACGGAAGGTGAAAACGAGGATTTCGGACTTGAAAGGTTTAGACGGAACCATGTCAAAAATTGCAATAAATGATTAGGATAAAGCCAATGTACTTGACATTTCTTTCAGTAGCGTTTTCACGAAGGAACCTTTAGGCGATATACCGACAATGGCAAATATAACTATAAAATATCCATTTGAAAATCTAGTGTGTACCGAGGAAAGTGTGGGAAAATTACTGTCCATGCTGGATGGGAATAAATCTCAAGATCCAGATCAGTTGCATCCTAGAGTCCTAAACGAATTACTCTCGATTATCAGTAAACCTGTAAGCATAATATTCAACAAGTCTCTACATAATAGCATCGTAACGTCTAGAAGGAAGCCAATATTACTGCAATATTTAAAAAATGGTCTAAATCCGACCCAGAAAACCATCGACCAGTAAGTCTTACCAGCGTAGCAGGAAAGACGATGGAAAATGAAGGAACGCTATTGTACATCATTTTATTGCAAAAAGATCTCCGGTTCTTCGGTTATTAATAGTATATTATAGGATTGGACTGATATATTGGATCATGGAGGGGAAATTGATGTTATATATACATGTATATGGATTTCATGAAGGCGTTTGATAAGGTTCCGCATCGCAGATTGATCGGTAAACTAAGAGGCTATGGAATTAACGATCAGATTGCTAAATGGGTAGAACATTTCCTAAGCAATCGAAAACAAAGAGTACTTGTTAATGGGAATTCGTCTAAAGACCACCAGGTACTAAGTGGTATACCCCAGGGTAGTGTTTCAGGGCCTGACTTGTTTGTAATTTACATAAACGATTTACCAAATTATACCATATATAAAACATTTTTATTCACTGACGATACCAAAAAGTTATAGGGAAATTAAAAAGGAAGAGGCAGCAGGATCTAGATAATTTACAGGAATGGTCAAACACCTGTCTTTTAAAATGTCATCCTCTCAAATGCAAAGTACTATCAATTAAGGGGGGGGGGGGGGGGGGGAGGTGTTACAGCATGGCTGGCACAGAAGCAACAGTCAAATTAAAAAGCATTGCGTCTGGAAAGGATATAGTCGTTTTAGTAGACAAGGACTTGAATGTTGTGTCTCATATGCAACAAGCAGTAAACAAGACTAATAGCATTGTTGGTTAATTAACAGGTCATTTGAATACTTAAATGAAGTTACATCCGTCCACACTTAGAGTATGTGGCAAGTGTATGGATTCCGTACAAAGTAAAAGACATTGAAATGATTGAAAATACCAGGCTTGGTCTACTCTGACCGTCTTTAAACAAAACTAGGCATTCCGACATTTGCATATCGAAGACCGAGAGGTGACATGATTTTTGTCTACAAAATATTAAACATTTTCCACGATAGTGCAGTTACCAGAGGAATCTTCGATAAAGACACTTCACGGCGAACAAGAGGTCATTCAGGGAAGTTAAAGAAAAAGTATTGAAACTTGACATCCACAAATACTCCTTTGATCTTCGGTCTATTGATGTTTGGAATAGTCTTCCTGAGGAGATCGTACAACCAACCTACCACAATCAGGGAATTTGAAACTGGACTGGACAATTATTGTAATAATTTTGAAATAAAATGTAATTACTTGGATGTAAATTGTTATATTACTTACATGGACTTATATAATTAGTGGCAGTATATGCCTGCATCCATCAACTATATCTCTATTAAATATTAAACTTGTGCAATCTTCCACGATCGAGGAATGAGAAAAAAATAAATTATAAATTGATAAAATATTTTGGTATCATTATTTTTTAAGGATTCAATTTCTATACGGTAAAACTTACTGGCCCTATTTGAAATACTATGACTGTGACGCGCGAGTCACTGAGTCATGCAGGGGAAATTCCAATCATGTTTTCCTATGGAAAACTCGAGCTAATTGGCAACAGCGGTATTTTGTTGAAGGATTTTGGCCACGATTTTTGGGTAGCCATACCCCCTATTGGACCCCTCTCACCTGTATGAAGCAAGGGAGGCCACTCTAACTAACCGGATGTACAAAATCCAACATGGGTCGGTTTGGCAACTGACATACAGGTGTGCTTCATATAGGAGAAAGTACACACGTGAGAGGTAACAAATTACAAAAGATAGCCCTACCACATTTTGATATAAGAACTTTAATCACCACGATTTATATCGTCATCACGTCTGCTAAAGGCTTGCGTTCACCACGGACTTCTATTAGATAGGCCTACCTAATAATCTAACGTTACTAATTCCATTGCATCACCAAGACACCATGATTTCTACAGTCACAGGTACTAGCCTCGTCTGTCAATACACCCATACTATACTAATTATATCAGTGTTTATTATTGGTGTATTGACAGATGTGGCTAGTACCTGTGGTTTCTAGCAGATCTCTAGCTGAAGGGTTGTGTTTACATTAATAATATTTATTCGGTAAAAGCAAGATACAGGTACAAATATCACATATGATCACAGATTTCAATTGTATAATAATCACAGATTTATCACAGTATTTAGATTATCACATCAAAGTTAATATCACAAATTTTGGAGCACTATAAATACAATGTATCTGTTTGTCTAAGCTTTAACCTAGGATATCCCATGAAAGCTGGGTGGCAGCTTATTTCCAATGGGGTCCTCTATTTATTATATGCTTCATGTATACGGTAACAATAATGCAGTAAGATATTTATAGTTATTTTGTAGTAAGTATTACAGGACTAGTAAAACACTTGTTGCGAATCTTCAATCACCTGAGTTATGCACGCCATCCTAATAATATATAAGCTAATGAAAAATACATGACATCAAAGTGACTGTATATAGAATTCAATGTAATAGATAAAACCCTAGCATTAAAGATGTGGATTAACTAGGTTGCCTTACAAGCGTCAGCTGTAGGGAATTTCCCTTGAGCTTAGCGGTAGAGCATCGGGCTGGAGAGCCAAGGGTTGCGTGTTTGAGACCCAGCGACGGCACTATCTTTTATCATTATTCCTCGTCCTATTACACTAATATTAATACCCGGCCACGACACAATATATAAAAAAATCTCTTGTCGTCAGAATGCTACGTTATATAGAGCTAATAAAACCCATCTAAGGCTAAGCGTAAATTGTATGGGAGACTCCCAGGAGAGAAAATGTCTTGGTTAGCTTACCAGGCTCCTAGGGTTGTCAGATCAACCGTAAACAGATCTTAATGCCCATTTTTTAGACAAACTCTGATGAAATTAAGATTTATGCTACGAGGAAACCATGTTAATTTAAAAAGAAAAAAGAAAAGATTGGTCTATATATCTACTTGACTACCTATTTATTTCTGTATGTAACCCTATGTATGTATGTCAAAGTCAAAGCCTAATACACCGGTTTCGCAGACAACCACATGCAGGCAAATCCAGACAAATTCCAGGCAATGGCTATAGGCAAAAAAACACAACAAGAAAATATCACATTTAGTTTAGGACAGAACAAGTTGAGGAACTGCGAACCAGAAGTGAAATTGCTAGGTGTCACCATAGATTTCCAACTAAACCTTCATACACACATCTCAAACACTTGTAAAAAAGCATCTAGACAATTAAACGTACTTAAACGAATAGGCAGACACTTAAACAGACTAGGCAAACTCACTATATATCACTCATTCATCCTCTCAAACTTTAACTTCTGTCCTCTCACATGGCATTTCTGTGGCGAAACAAACACACACAAAAATGGAAAAATACAGGAAAGGGCACTCAGATTCATATACGACGACCACACATGTACATACAAAGTTTTATTGGCCCGCTCAAAATTACCATCCCTCAAAATTAGACGCCTCAGAAATTTTGCAATCGAAGTATACAAAATTACAAACAAACAAACACCCACATACCTGCATGACCTCATCAGTACCAAACAAAAGCCATACTCCTTCAGATACCACAACACAGCAGACATACCACAAGTAAGAACAACCAAATTTGGCAAACTCTCTTTTCGATCTGAAGCACCAAAAATATGGAATTCTCTGCCAGACCACTTTCGAACAGCAACAACACTTTCGCAATTCAAAACACTTATAAACAGCTGATACGGACCACAATGTAAATGTGTCACATGCAAACAACCTACATAATATACCACACAACAACATACCATCACTTATTACTCTCATACAAGTACACAAGGTTTTTAAATCTGCTATTTTAAACAGCTACTTGTGTACATGTGCTTTTAATAAATGATAGTGCTAACCTAGCTGAAAATGAAATGTGATGTATGAGTAAAAGTATTGACTTTGTAACTGTTTTATTATGCAATGTGTATGTCCTGTATGTTAGTCGGTTTTAATAGCTCCTTAGAGCTAATGTGGTATTGTTATACCATGTACCGACTCTAAATAAAACCTTTGACTTGACTTTGAACCCTAACATTTCATATGTTTGTATGTGATTTAACGACCTTGCAACAGTCAAGGTCATATGAAAATGGATCCTAGCAGGTATTTTATTTTGTTTGTCCTTCGCTATTGTCAGGACACACAGTTCAAAGCAAGCAAACGTACAGGTCAGCAGAGAGATAAAACATAAGTGTACATTTGTAAATCGTTTACGAAGCTTTGACACCGTTATATCTATATATATTTTGATTTTGTGGTTTATATTGTTTTTAGGTTGCTATGGAGACGGAGCTTGAGTGAGAGAACTGACAGAAGCATGAAATTCAGATCAAGAAACATGAAGAGCCTGTAAAGTTTCATTAATCTTTTTCCTCGACCGTTTAGGGTCTAAAACAGACTCGGGTCAATTCCTCTCCTAATTGAAGCAAAGCAAAACATTTCTACTCCTAGATTTATTAGAATGAGAAATTGAACACCTAGTAGTCAATGTAAAGAATGTGGGTACATGTAGTTTGTGTTTTTTTTCTATTCAAATGGACAGTGCTGGCAAGGCAGTAACCCAACCTCGATATCCAGGGGTTACGCTCACTTTCACTCTCTGCTCCCCTGAAGTATGTCATAGCTTCAATTTTGCTATGACTTATTCGAGGGGTGTAGAGAGCGAAAGTGAGCGTAACCCCTGGGTATCGAGGATGGGCAGCAACCCAACTAGAATCAGTACAAACATCATATTCTGCTGTCCCAATATCAAACTGAAGCAAAACATTGCTGGAGACCAAACATTAATTCAGTACAAACTGTATTAATGTTTGTTCATTTGGCATACTCTATTTTACTGTTAAAGTCCCAGGTCTGAGATAGATCCTCCGATGATTTGGAAAGCATCCTTTTCTAAGATGATTGAGTGTTGAGTTGATCACGCACCTGAGAGACAAGGATTTGATTACTTGTTCAGGTTTTTTTTTTTTATAATTTCCTGACTTCATATTGTTGTCAAATTAAAGTATACTTCAGGATAGATTTCTATTTATACATTGTGGTGTAAAATTCTAAATTGTTTACCATTTCGGATCCTCAAGTTACCTCTTTGAATATTTAAATTTACTTTTACTTCCATAGATCATGTTTTCAATGAACAATTATATTTAGCATTTTATCACATAACTGATTCATTTTATGTCATATGGCCATGTCATAATATGGTACTTTGGTTTTTACCTTTATAGAGTCAACTGATAACACATATATGTGTTTGGATTTATTTTTCCCAATTATTAATGTTATGTAATAAGTAGAATATGACATGAGTATCCATATCATTTTGAATTTATTAAACTCAATATGACATGGACACTTGTGTAAGATTTTCTATTTATTGCCTAGATTAATGAAAAAGTTATAGAATGCTTTGTTCAACTTTGTTATATATATGTAATAAACAGGAAAGAGAGGCACTTAATTCTTTTTGATATAATAGATATGACCACAGATAAAACATGTTATAAGTAACACTACAGGAAGGAAAGAGTTCCGTAATAGTTTTGTTGATCAAATGATCTCATTCAGTTTTATCAATATATGTACTCATATCACCAGGGGGAGTGGAGACTCAACGTCCCTGCAAGGAAATCAGTTCCATAGTGGCGGTAGAGATCCTGGGGTGGATACCTAACAACAGGGGGGTGGAGACTCAACGTCCCTGTAAGGAAGTCTGTTCCATAGTGGCAGTAGAGATCCTGGGGTGGATACCTAACAATGGGGGGTGGAGACTCAACGTCCCTGTAAGGGAGTCAGTTCCATAGTGGCAGTAGGGATCCTGGGGTGGATACCTTAATGGTATTCAACAGTGCTCATCAGGGAAAGCAGAGCAAATGAAAATGTTTTCGTCAGTTCTTTTTTCAATACTCATATATCAGTTAGTTAAAAATTATTTTGTAATTTTCAGAATAAAAAATTTGATGTGGAAACACAAGCCGTTCTGGAGGCTGTACCTGCGTAACTTTGTGATTTTGGCTGTGGTTGCAATGGGCTCGGTTTTCCTTGCCTGTCTTGATGAAGGTAATTCCTTTAGTAATACTATATAAATATCATGTTTTAGACTTGTAAATTATTTTGGAAAACAGAAGGAGTAGAGGATATTATATGAAAGTTGGGAATATATATCGAATTACATGTAGTTGTACATTTCTTCAACACTGACATATACATTGATTTGTGTATGTCTATGAGAGACTCAATTTATGATTTTATGGCTACAATGGGGGAATGTACTTGATTTTGTTACTTCATGTTATTTTAGAGAGTTACTTCCCCTTTGTTAAGCTCTATTTTAAGACCTATTCCTAAATGAAGAGAGGCCTCCATTTTCTTAATTAGTCAAGATAAATTTCATTTTCCAATTGGCAATATATATGATATGAGGGGCGGGGTCTAAATAAACTTGCCAAGTTTTTCTAATTCATAAATTGCATATACAATACATTTATAAAATTGACCAGGCAATTAGCTGTTACGAATTTCATTACACAGTTTATCAACATTTGAAAATTCATTTTTTTCTTAGTTCTGAATATGATTTTTCCCAATTTGACCTAGGGTTCATTTTCCAAATTATCCTGTTTAAGCTAAGAGTGTTTTCCTCTCATACTTACTTAAAGGTACATATGTATGTCAGACCCCAAAAAATAAGTCCAAGGAGGTTAGAATAAGGAATATAACACAAAGTGAATACACCACAGGTACAAGCCTCATCTGTCAATACACCTATAATATGGTATATGGGGCAAAGAAGTAATTCCAACAGTGTGGACAAGTTTAGGTTGTAAAATTTTCGGAGCGATCCGCTGCTTTATCAAGACACAGTGAAACAGAACAGTTACATGTACATATACATCATATTACAAGAAGATGGAACTGATATACTATAATTGAAAATATAGCTATTATATAAAACCAATAGTCCCCTCGGCTAAAGACAGCCGAAGGCAGCAATTAAGATGAGAGCATCGCGGACAAGGAACGCTGATGTAGAGGACCTATTCTTGCGCAAGATGCACTATCACATAAAGTGAGTCAACGAGAGATAATTATAAGCACCAGAAAGAAGGGATGAGATATCAAAAACGTGGAACATGTGCATGTGGGGAATCTGGCCCGGTAAATGTGAAAAATCTCAAATTCCTATGGAATGCCCCAACAATGCAGAGCTGATCGAAGACATGGACAGATTCTACAGGCTACTTCGGCTACGCGTGTACTTTGCTAATGACCTTGACCCAGATGATGTAGAGGATACTCTGTCAGTAGAGTCTCCCATCGCACCCCTGATCAATCCATTCAAACATAAAAGTAAATGGAACCCTCCTCCCAGCAGAGTACCTGCTCTCGAAGCGTTCATCAGTGCAGTGAAGGAGGAAGTAACCGTCCACTTAAACAACACGCAGACAACCAAGGACAATCTGTCACCTTTGGAACGCCAGGCACTCAAATTTCTGAAAAAAATAATTCGGACATTGTAACCAAGCCAGCGGACAATGGCTGTGCAGTTGTTATAATGAACAGGGACAACTACATCCAAGAGGCTAATCGGCAACTCTCCAAAGAGACATTTTATCCTAAGGTCGATAGTGACCTGACGCACGTACACACACAGTAGAATAATAATACCATCAATAGAATTTTAGAGAAGGGTGTTATTGACAACGATACCGCAAAATTCCTGCACCCCGAAAACCCTCAAGCAGGAAAGTTTTATCTTCTTCCTAAAATTCACAAACTTGGGAACCCTGGTAGACCCATCATTAACTCGATCAACCACCTGACGGAGAAATTTTCTAGTTTGTTGACTTCCACCTCCGACCATTAGTGGAACATTTACCATCTTTTTTAAAAGACACCACAGACTATCTTAACAAAACACCTGCTAAGAACTTACCAGAAGGTACCTTATTAGTTACGATGGACGTCGTTTCCCTCTACACTAACATACCGCATGACGACGGCATTGCTGCTTGTCGCGAGGCATGGGAACGGCACAGTACCAAACACCCATCGACTGATAGTCTGGTGGATTTACTGAGATTTGTCCTCACACTAAACAACTTTACATTCAATGAGGATAACTACATACAAGTTAGCGGTACAGCCATGGGTACTAAAATGGCCCCCTCATATGCCAATGTTTTTATGGGACATCTTGAAGCCCAACTTTTAACATCTGCTCCAATTAAGCCATTTAGCTGGCTGAGATTTATCGATGACGTTGAAATCAAATGGACATCGCGTCGGGCTCCCTTGACGAGTTTATTGAGTACGCTGACGCGTTCCACGCCACCATCAAATTCACAGCAGATATCTCCACGGAGAGCAACACATTTTTGGACACCAGTTCCACTCTGATTGATGGTAAGATTAGTATGGACCTCCACTGTAAACCTACTGACACACACCAGTGTCTCCTCCCATCCAGTTGTCACCTCTCGCACACCACGTGTAGCATACCCTACTCCCAAGCTCTGCGCATCAGGCGTATTATTTCGGATGACATCATCTTTGAACGCAGATGTTCAGAGTTTAAAGTCCAATCTTCTTGCCAGAGGATACAAATCTACTTTGATAGATCGGGAAAAAGACAAACTGAGGGTACTGGACAGGGCAAGTCTGCTTGTATACAAAGTCAGACCCCATACACAAAGGGTACCTTGTGTAGTCATGTTCCACCCAGATATGCAGCCACTTCTAGCTATCTTGAAAAAGCACTGGCGCATCATCGAATCTTCAGCGAAACTTAGGCAGATCTTTCCAGCGTCTACTTTACTGGCATATCATAGACCTAAACACATTAGGCATCTTGTGGTAAGCAGCAAGCTACCTACACCTAACCCTGACATCATCTTTGAACGCAGATGTTCAGAGTTTAAAGTCCAATCTTCTTGCCAGAGGATACAAATCTACTTTGATAGATCGGGAAAAAGACAAACTGAGGGTACTGGACAGGGCAAGTCTGCTTGTATACAAAGTCAGCCCCCATACACAAAGGGTACCTTGTGTAGTCATGTTCCACCCAGATATGCAGCCACTTCTAGCTATCTTGAAAAAGCACTGGCGCATCATCGAATCTTCAGCGAAACTTAGGCAGATCTTTCCAGCGTCTACTTTACTGGCATATCATAGACCTAAACACATTAGGCATCTTGTGGTAAGCAGCAAGCTACCTACACCTAACCCTGACATCATCTTTGAACGCAGATGTTCAGAGTTTAAAGTCCAATCTTCTTGCCAGAGGATACAAATCTACTTTGATAGATCGGGAAAAAGACAAACTGAGGGTACTGGACAGGGCAAGTCTGCTTGTATACAAAGTCAGACCCCATACACAAAGGGTACCTTGTGTAGTCATGTTCCACCCAGATATGCAGCCACTTCTATCTATCTTGAAAAAGCACTGGCGCATCATCGAATCTTCAGCGAAACTTAGGCAGATCTTTCCAGCATCTACTTTACTGGCATATCATAGACCTAAACACATTAGACATCTTGTGGTAAGCAGCAAGCTACCTACACCTAACCCTGCTGCGGCGAAAGGCTCTTTCAATACCTGTAACAAAAAGGTGTGCAAACTGTGTCCATACACGCTCTCCACAGATACATTTCAATGTACAATCAACGGCAAAGTGTATCACATACTACAAACACCAATATGCACATCAGTCAATGTGGTGTACCTTATTACCTGCAATAAATGCAATTTACAGTACGTGGGCGAGACCTGCACCCAGCTCAATGTCAGAATCAACAACCACGGCTGCTCCATCAAGCAGAATAAACCAGACTCCCCTGTGGCAAGGCATTTTAATATGCCTAGCCACAGTTGGAAACAAATGCAGGTTGTTGCCATAGATCATTGCCCTACATGGGATAAGACGAGACGACGTACGAGAGAACGGTTTTGGATCACCAATCTACAAACCCGCTACCCTCGAGGTATGAACGAACGATAGGCGGTTGCCATTCGCTTGTTTTCCTTCCAGGGGGCATTGGACCTAATGATTTATTACTGCACAGTTGGTCTGCTATCTCGCCTGCCTGCTGCTTCATGTCAGTGGGTCTGACCAACAACCGTTGTCAGATTAATTTTGCAGATTTATACAGTATCTTAGCCATTTCATCTACTTAATCCTCCTGCACTCACTTATTTTATAATTACATGCATTATTCCTGCAAACCGAAAGAGGTGACAAAGTGTGGACCCCCTGCTGTGACTGTTAGATCCACTGCAGAATTGAGAGGCGACTAATGAGACATTCCATAGGAATTTGAGATTTTTCACATTTACCGGGCCAGATTCCCACATGCACGTGTTCCACGTTTTTGATATCTCGTCCCTTCTTTCTGGTGCTTATCTCTCGTTGACTCACTTTATGTGATAGTGCATCTTGCGCAAGAATAGGTCCTCTACATCAGCGTTCCTTGTCTGCGATGCTCTCAGCTTAATTGCTGCCTTCGGCTGTCTTTAGCCGAGGGGACTATTGGTTTTATATAATAGCTATATTTTCAATTATAGTATATCAGTTCTATCTTCTTGTAATATGATGTATATGTACATGTAACTGTTCTGTTTCACTGTGTCTTGATAAAGGAGCGGATCGCTCCGAAAATATGACAACCTAAACTTGTCCACACTGTTGGAATTACTTCTTTGCCCCATGTACTATTTTAAGTAATTCGTATCCTACGGACATATCTCCATTAGGATCCAGTGTTATATGGGATTTTACCGTCTATATTACTTCTTTGACCCATGTAATATGTTATAGGTGTATTGACAGACGAGGCTAGTACTTGTGAAAACACACTTATTTTCTGGCCTTATAAAACATTGATGAAAACAAGATTTAAGTGGTAAACTAAAAGTGTTACCTTTGTTTTGAAAGGTGACCACATTTTATATTGAAATGTCTACCTCATGATGTCTTATCACAAACCTAGTAGTCACTTCATCAAAATGAGATTTTTGCTGTGTCTTGTTGTTACAGATTTTACAACCAAAGTGAGGGGATATGTTTGGAAAATAGACATAAAGACTCTGGCCAAGCAGTATAAAGACGAATCATCACGTAAGTCTGCTGTGTTGTATCTGTTGGCCCCATGGGTGTAGATATTTTGGTCAATAGTGGGTCTTAGCCCATTCACCCCAAAAGTCACATTTGAACCTTATTAAATCAAAGACTGGGCAAGTCCAGTTAAAATATGTGGGGGTGAATGAGATAAAGCAGGGTTCTACTTGGGCAGGGGATAATTTACCCTTAGATTTCATTGGATGGGGAATGCTTTCGAATATTGGGGAGATATTTGTAAAAATTATTACCCACTGGCCTGGTCTAGAAATGAAGTTTAGAAGCTATGTGGTGTATTCTGGAAAACTTTTAAAGATAAAATATATTTTTATATCAGGAAATGCTCTGAAGGTAATTGGCTAAAAATACCATAAAATGTCTTTAAGGCATCAAAGTCTTAAGGTATACAAAATATGAAGGAAATCACAAAATACTTGTGACTTCAGAGTTTTATTTTCATGATCTAGGTAAATTTTCTAAAAAATTATCATGGATTTCGAACACAGGTGTTTGAGATGTATCTTAAATAATATATCTTGCTGGAACAATTCCTTCAACATATCATTTTATGTTGAGATCTAGATCATCATTACTCTTCACTTCCAGAAAGCTTTAACAAGGAAGGGTCATAGTGACAGTGCCTCAGGAATGCAGGTTAATGTAGTCGATGAATAAGTGTCTCAGGAATGTAGGTTAATGTAGTCGATGAATAAGTGCCTCAGGAATGAAGGTTAATGTAAACGATGAGTAAGTGCCTCAGGAATGCAGGTTAATGTAGTCGATGAATAAGTGCCTCAGGAATGTAGGTTAATGTAGTGGATGAATAAGTGCCTCAGGAATGTAGGTTAATGTAGTGGATGAATAAGTGCCTCAGAAATGAAGGTTAATGTAGTGGATAAATAAGTGCCTCAGGAATGCAGGTTAATGTAGTCGATGAATAAGTGCCTTAGGAATGTAGGTTAATGTAGTGGATGAATAATAAGCGCCTCAGGAATGTAGGTTAATGTAGTGGATGAATAAGTGCCTCAGAAATGAAGGTTAATGTAGTGGATAAATAAGTGCCTCAGGAATGCAGGTTAATGTAGTCAATGAATAAGTGCCTCAGGAATGCAGGTTAATGAAATCAATGAATTAGTGCCTCAGGAATGAAGGTCATGAAGTCGATGAATAAGTGTCTCAGGAATGTAGGTTAATGTAGTCGATGAATAAGTGCCTCAGGAATGCAGGTAAATGTAGTCAATGAATAAGTGCCTCAGGAATGCAGGTTAATGTAGTCGATGAATGAGTGCCTCAGGAATGCAGGTTAATGTAGTCGATGAATAAGGGCCTCAGGAATGCAGGTTAATGAAATCAATGAATTAGTGCCTCAGGAATGAAGGTCATGAAGTCGATGAATAAGTGTCTCAGGAATGTAGGTTAATGTAGTCGATGAATAAGTGACAGAGGAATGCAGGTTGATGTACTCGATGAATAAGTGCCTCAGGAATGCAGGTTGATGCAGTCGATGAATAAGTGCCTCAGGAATGTAGGTTAATGTAGTGGATGTATAAGTGCCTCAGAAATGAAGGTTAATGTAGTGGATAAATAAGTGCCTCAGGAATGCAGGTTAATGTAGTCAATGAATAAGTGCCAGAGGAATGCAGGTTGATGTAGTCGATGAATAAGTGCCTCAGGAATGTAGGTTAATGGAGTTGATGAATAAGTGCCTCAGGAATGCAGGTTGATGCAGTCGATGAATAAGTGCCTCAGGAATGTAGGTTAATGCAGTGGATGAATAAGCGCCTCAGGAATGTAGGTTAATGTAGTGGATGAATAATAAGCGCCTCAGGAATGTAGGTTAATGTAGTGGATGAATAATAAGCGCCTCAGGAATGTAGGTTAATGTAGTGGATGTATAAGTGCCTCAGAAATGAAGGTTAATGTAGTGGATAAATAAGTGCCTCAGGAATGCAGGTTAATGTAGTGGATGAATAAGCGCCTCAGGAATGTAGGTTAATGTAGTGGATGTATAAGTGCCTCAGAAATGAAGGTTAATGTAGTGGATAAATAAGTGCCTCAGGAATGCAGGTTAATGTAGTGGATGAATAAGTGGCTCAGGAATGCAGGTTGATGTAGTCGATGAATAAGTGCCTCAGGAATGCAGGTTCATGAAGTCGAGGAATAACAGCTGACTTGTGCTTCAGAGTCACTTCAAAAATGTTATTGTGATGTCCTATGTGGTTGTGAATGATATTATCAGTTTAAATTTCAAAATCATGAATATTCAGAAAGTACATGATACACAGACAAAAAACAGGAGAGAGCTGATCTGCTTTAGAGAAATTTAATGCAATCTTTTGGAAAAAGAAGGTTGAAATCATTATATTTTGGACCCAAAGTGATCTCTGATAAATAAACATATGACTTAATTGTCCATGTGATTTGTGTTTTCCAGATTTGTCATGTATAAAAGACAGTGCACATACATGATCTTTTGGTGAAATGTCTCTAAAACAAGTAATTAAAAAAGTTATCAATTTTAGTTAATTGTACAAATTTTAATATATTTAATGACAAAATCTCAGTCTAATAAGTGATTAGCTAGTCAGTAGTAAAACAATTCTGAACTTGTGAAAGTATAATATATATTGTTTGTGTAAAATGTCTATAAAAGATTTATACTTTATCTTCAAACTGATGAATCTGATGGCATACATGCCCTAACTTTCTGGTTAAGTTAAGATAGTGAGATTTTTTCTCTGAATAAGTGAGAAATTTGTGAGTCATTTAGAGTTTAAAACAGAAATAATACTGCATATGCAATCTAGACAGTACCCAAAACGGGACACTTATGGAAAAAAGGCCCACGAAACTGTCATTCAATGCAAAGGAGTGACTTTTATGAATACAGTTTTCATTTGATAATACTTTTATGAAAATTTAACTGTATGTAAGCTTTATTGGCTGTTGATTATCGTTACAAGGACAATTTAAAGGTAAGAAAAATTACCATAACAAAACTTTCCCGATTTACATGCCGTGTGACGCTATTTATTTGGATATCATGTTCGAAAGTCTATTTTATCAAAACTAATGTTAGTTTGGGAAGAAATTTAATGATAACACTATTTGACTCTAAATTGTTTGAAATATGTCTTCTTTCCTGCTGATATTGATTGATTATTCCCAAATATTAGCCAAAATACTGAAGGTTTCCTTTCAGGGTACAGTTAAGCCATTTCTAGGGCCTACGTTACTCTGATGGTATTTCACGTTTTATTTATAGAACCATGTGCCAAAAATACCAACTTGTTATAGAAATGAAAAGTGGATAGTATCTTTTTATGAAAAATGAACACACCTTTTTGGAACTAATAGGATGGTATAAAAGAACATTGATATTTATCCAAAAAGTGTCCCGATTTAGGTTTTACAACTTTACTGGGACCCAGATAATTCTGCAACCAGGTAGGTAATCTTTAATTTCAGACAGAGCTTAGGAAAAAAATACTAGTTGCGGGGGTCAAATTTTGGGTTGAAAATAGCAATTTTTGGCATTTTTTGGTAATTTTTGATGTGGTAACCATGGTTTTCACACAAGTGACATACATAGAAAAAAGAGGTTTATACACTTCTCAGTACTTTATATGTATTGTAAATGTAATGCAGTTTACAAATATATATACATGTATACATGTGTTGTGTAGGGTAAATCCGCTGTGTTTACATTTCCTCGACATGTGCCTTGTTTATCAGAGTCGGGCCATTTCTACTGTATTCTGCTACCAAAGTAACTTCAATTTTCTTAAAATATTTGCATTGTTTAACATCGTATACATTGTATATGTAGTAAATATATTAAATTTTGTACTTGCGATTTCTTTCCCAGTTTACATCGACCGGACACAAGCTGACCATTTGTTCAACAAGGTCAAAGTGCTGTGTTTTATTCTAACTATTGAAAGAAAACTGACAGGGCAGGTCCAGATCGTAAACAATACGTGGGCGAGGCGCTGTAACAAAGTATTGTACGTCCTGTGTACGGACCACAAGGCACCGGACCTCCTTTCCACGTGTTCCGTCGGTGAGAGTAGGAATCACCTGACCGGGAAAGTCCGGTACGCTATCAAACATTCCTACGAACATTACATGGAAAAATACGACTGGTTTTTAAAGGCGGATGACGATACGTATGTGATAATGGAGAATCTCCGGTATCTGTTATCACATTACCCCACGAATAAGGCGGGGTATCTGGGTTATCATTTTAAAGTACATATAGACCAAGGGTACATGAGTGGAGGGGCCGGGTACATCATCAACAGACAGGCTCTCAAACAGGTTGTGGAGCAGGGGTTCCGACGGGACAGTTGTCTTCAGGACGGTGGCGACGAGGATGTGGAAATGGGTAGATGCCTTGAAGCGTCCAACGTGCAGGTGTTTAGCTCACTGGACAAATTTGACCGGGAGACTTTCCATACGGACAAACCTTGGCAGCATATCTGGGGAATTCCACCAGGATATCTCAACTTATATTCTAGAAATGGAGTAAGAAAGGTAAGTCAGTGAAAAACAATGGTTTTATCTTTGTACTTTGCACTGAATTATCATTAATCCAGCCACCACTTATCCAGTTGTTCTACCATGCAGCTACATCAATCCAGTCACCACTTATCCAGTTATCCCACTATCCAGCCTTGTTAATCCAGCCACCACTTATCCAGTTATCCCACTATCCAGCCTTGTTAATCCAGCCACCACTTATCCAGTTTTCCAGTTTTTAGGTCACCTGAGACAAAGTCTCAAGTGACCTATTGCGATCGCCTTTTGTCCGTCGTCGTCCGTCGTGCATCCGTAAACAATTTACATTTTCGACTTCTACTCCAAAACCCCTGAACCAATTTCAATGAAATTTTGCAGGGACCTTCCATGGACAAAGGTCAACAAAAATAGT